TATCTATCTATCTATCTATCTATCTATCTATCTATCTATCTATCTATATCATCTATCTATCTATCTATCTATCTATCTATCTATCTATCTATCTATCTATCTATCATCTATCATCATCTATCTATTTCTTTGTACAGCTGTCCATCTCACACAATTACTCTGGGTGGCATACATATTCATAACATTATATAAAAACTATTAAAATCATCAATTTAAAAATTAGAATAAAAACAGGTAATAAAATTTGGTGGCTATATGGGAAGAAATATGAAGAGAAGGAAAATCCATTTCATTACTAACGTCCATTCAATTTTGGAAGGATAGAACTAGATACTTTGTATAACAATAGCAGCACATTGAAAAGTCACAATTTTTGCTTCTTACAGAAGCAGAAATTTACTTATTTGTTCTATGGCTTTGGCAGCCCCTTTTTTACAAGGGTTGTCAGCTTTATTTTGAAATAAATAACAGAATAACAGGTCCTTGAATCTAATTCATCCCCCTGCTCTGGCAAGAATATTGGCTTGTTATGCACTTGCTTTGCCTAGACTGTTCCAGTTCTCATATATGTTTGGAAAAGAATAGCAATTAAATGAATTGTGCTATTTTCAGAGAAATGGAAACAGGAACTGGAAGATGGAAGAAAGCATTTACCTAAACAAGTAGCCTCTTAAAGTAAAAAGAGGACCAAGCTTTGCTCTTTTATCTTCAAAAAGAAGAATTTATAAGGTACTTTGGATTTAGCTCAGACATGAGATACTTTTTCCTCACAAGTTTTCACAATTCCCTCTTATTTATGGCAAGCCATACTTATGGACAACTATGCCAAGTGCCATGGAGACATTACGTGCCCCCCCTTTCAGCAAATTTTAGACAACACTTCTTTTTCTATCATTTGCCATCAGAATGTCGAGAGGGGACTTATAACCTTCACCTGGCACAACTTCACTTGGGTTTTCTACTACATCTCATGATGCTTTAAGATACTGCTTCCCATACCCAGTTTGGAGGAACTGCTCAAAACTATTTTTCTGCCGTTATCTGCTCATGTCAAAATCAAATGGGAACTAAAATAACCAATAGGGAAATCTAAGAATGTTCTGACTGCCCTGTACAGTACAGGCTCGAAAAAGAAGATCAGGAAAACAATATGGTAGACACTGGAAGATGACTGGTGGGCAGATTGGAAGATAGATGCTGTAATATCAATTCCGCTTCTTGTTATGTAATGTGGTTTCTACCTCCAGGTACTGTAGCCCAATCAGCATCCCCAGGATGGAGAAACCTGAAAGATGGAAATTGAGCAAGAACAGAGAACAAAAATATTTAAAAATCGCATATCTTTAAAAAAAAGGCGATAACATTTGGCTGTGGAAAACTCCAGGTTCAGTTTCCAGTATGACTCTGAAGAAATAATTATCATTCCACCTAAGTGGCCTCACAGAGGAAGAGTGAAAAAAACACACTGGAAATAAACACAATTCTAGGAACAGAAAACGATAAGCAGCTTAGTAAGTACTTACTTGCCACCATTAAGGGTGCCAGGACACCAATCGTTGCAGCTGCTGTGCCATAAATAAACACCTCAGAGAGGAAGTGGCCCAGGGCAATGAAGAAGGTCAAAAGTGTGATGTTATAGAGGCTGTCAGAGAGTCCACAAAGAAAGGATTATTGTGTGGTATAGAGATGACACAAAGAGATCAGAGGAAGTTGAGAATCTGAAACCAAATGAGTATGCTGTACCTTTGCATCTTTAGTCAGGCATTGGTGTCTGCATCTTTTGAAAACTAGAGAGAGTACTGTACCTTCTGTTGCTCAAAGGTTACTTCTAGCATGTTCAATTAGTGTTCCTACCATCCATAAACACCACAGACACTAGTCTCGAGACAGATTAATAGGTTCAGCATAGCCTGAATTGAAGAGTACTAAAAACTTTAATTGTTTAGAATTGCTTTGATCAAAGCAGAATAGATTTTAAAACCTGACATTTTGGCAGATAAAATTGCAGAGGGAGTATTATATCTTGTTTCTCTTTACTTCTAGAAACAAAGTTTGTGCCTTAATACAGAGTGCCAAACTTATTGTTTTCCTATTGCTGTACCCAACTAAATAATAAACATGCAACACTCTAGATGTACATCCTTTCAGAAAACATTACAAATGGTGGAAAATATGAAAATGTAAACCATATGTGGTATAGAACTTTCAGTAGAAGAGTAATACTAACAGAAGAGGGAGATTATTCCTTATTGTATTAAGTATCAGAACTTTAACTTTCAGAGGTCTAACTAGACAGAAATTAGGGACTAATATTATTCTTATATAAGTAGTCTACTAAGCACTTCCTTCTTTATGCCTATTTTACTCTTCATAGATACAAGCCCTTTGAGACAATATTTCCCAAATGTATAAAGAAGTTGAAAAAAATTCTGGATTAATATGATTGTAAGGGAAAGGAGTTTATTAAAGAGGGTTGGTAATGAATTGTTCCTTTTACTATTTATTTTAGTATTCATTTTACTTACGTCTTGTTGCGGATATCTATGGCACAATAGCAGCGGATCACAGAAGACAACAAGGTCCAAATGCCAAAGGTTCGAGCTTGGAGACCATTTACTGAATTGAAAAAATAGATATGTAACAGCAATTTATTTATATATGTTTCCAAACAGAACTTAGCAGTATATTCAACAGCCTAAGATATATAATGGCCTTGAAAATTATTCTAAGGATCAAGGGTTTTCAGTCCTGAAGCTCAGTAGAGAAATGTCTGATATGGAAAATAAATTACACTGTACCTGAAGCATTTGTTATAGCCTGACTCTTCTAGGTGGGCACTAAACAAACTAAACTGATGCAGTAAACTTCAGGATAAAAGAAGAACAAACAATATTTAAAGCAAAAAGACATTTCAAAATTGGCAACGTTTTAAGACCTGAATAAACATTTCTTTGCAATATAGGCAAAATACAGATCCCATTTTTAGATTCCAAAAATGACATTTTATAAATCTTACCAAGACCTGGCTTGCCTGTATACAATTTCTCAGAAAGGAAGCTGTGGTCTCTGAAGCTTTGCACTGTGTTCCCCAAAGCAATTATGGACACCATAACTAGCCAACTACGAAGTACATTCAAGAACCGGCTCATCTTAGAAGTAGCAAGACACAATCTGTCTTATGAACAAATAAAGAATCAAGAGTTTAAAACACTTCTTCTATTTTAGACTTTGTAATCATGCTTGCTATGCATGCTTTGCAGTACTTCCTCTTAAGTTGTATATAGTTTTGTGGAATAATTAAATCAGGCCATTTTGCTGGCCTGCAAATGACAAGAACAGAGCCTTCCCATATTCCAGATAAGAAACTAAAATGGAAAATTATTTTAAAAGTTGCAATAGTGTTTTTTCAGTGCAGTTGAAGCACAAAGGAAGGAGGAAAATCTGTTGCAAATGTAGCGTCTTTCAAAAACAAATCAAATTCAGAAAAATACAAAGACAAATTCCCAGTAAATCCATATAGCAGGCTTCATTCCTTCTAGTCTTTCCAGCTAAAGCTTCTAGAATTTCCAAGCAGCACCTTATTGGCTAGTATTTCTAGGAGTTACAGTTCTATTGGATCTAAAAAACACCAGATGATTAAAAACTAGTTGATCAGGGTTAAATTGAACCAATAATCTTGCATTAAATTAACTCCCATAATCTTTATGTGGAAAAGACAGCCAGTTGCTAGAAAAAGAACAATTCTTTTAACAACTGTTCTGTCTAAATAACTCAACAAGGACAGGTAGCTTGATTCACTGTTCCCTTTCTACTTTCCCCTTATATAAAAGCTTTCTCCTTTTAGGATTTTATTCTGTTTATGAATTAACCCAGGTACAGTATATATAACCACTGCCAGAGCTGAAGGCGTATATTCTGCTTCCTTCTATCCAACTAGTGAAATGAGACCACAAGGAAGCTGCCTGTCCCTTGGAACAGAGATCAACCTCTTGGCATCCATAAGTCAGAAGAAAAAACATCCTAAGATGCTTCCTTGGCATTTTTCTCCTGATAAATGCTTTGAGCAGAGAGAGGAAGGGAAGACATTCTGGCCTGATCTTTTGGTCAGGAAACTATCAGACTTATGGCTCTTTACCACGTTTTAAGCCTTGAGTAAATTGTTTCTTCTCTCCCTTTGTAATTTTCGATGGCAGATTAAATGGTGGGCCTGGTTCCCGTTTTATTTAGGAAGGATTGGAAAGAAGTGGTGACACCTGCATAAAATTTTAGGAATGTTCTCCGAACGTCTTCTTGCTCCCTTCGATTCTTGCCCTGCAAGCCATCTTGCCCTGCACCTAATTCCTACCGTGCACGTCGCCCCCTTGGTTATTCCCCATACAACCCCCCCACCAACGCCATTGAGATCTTACTTCTCACCCCCACTTGATTGGCAGGCGTACCAGATTCGCTGCTCACCTCCAACTAAAGGAGCACGAGCCCCGCCCCTTCCTTAGTTTGAGCGATGATTGGTCCACGGTCAGACGTCGCCTTTTCCTGGTTGGTCTCCGCGACCCTCTCTAAACCGTCACATGGATGGGAAGGCAGCTGTACCTATCAAATGCGCTGAGCCCTTCTGAGGCATTATGACGTAGAATTCGAAGGTGTGGGTGGAAGAACTCAGAACATCCTTTTCGCTTCCCTTTTTTTAAAAAGAGAATTTTGATGACGCCGTTTTAGAAGAGGAGGCAGAAGAGGACCGGAAACTCGCGCATGCGTGTGGAGAAGGGCACCGGCGGGAGCCGAGGAATTGGCGCTTGCGCAAATGTGTCTCCTGTAAAAAGAGGGAGACGGTTGCCTGTTGGTTGTTGTAGTAACAGGGGAAGCGCTTGAGCAGAGGAATCGCGACTGCCGGGCCCCTAAGAGGATGAAGCAGCAGGTAATGGCCGTGAGCGGAGTTTGGGAACAGGGCGCCTTCCATGCTGCATGCAAAGAACTTGCTCGGACGAGAAGTTGAGCCTCGCAGATGGAAGGCAGCGTTTGTAGAGATGTGACCGGCATCCAACGGGACGGAGGGAGCTGGCGTGAAATTCGCGGACCGACCGCAAAGTTCGCGGAATTCAGGCAGTGCTTCCCAGGTGGCTCCCTCTATGGGGATGAAACCAGGTTCCGGAGCTTTCCGCCATAATTTCTCATCCCTTCCTCCCCATGACCAGGAGTGCGATGCCCACGAAAGGGGACAAGCGAGCCCTCCGGCAAAGATTGCCGCCTCTTCCCGCTCAGGGGCAGTGCCATCTTCTGCCGGGGGCCCAGCCCCTGTCGGACTTTCGTTTCTGGGTCAGAATTCCGCCAGGAAAAGTTTTCATTGGGAATCGACTTTTAGCGCACTGGGGCTTGAACGAGAGAAGTGTTGCAAGTGGCTGTTGAACCCTCAGGAAAAGCATCCCCGGGAGCCACAGAAAGGGGCAGGCGGTGTTTAAGACAAGGTAGCTGAGTGTCATTTTGATCCTGGGAGTTTTGCGGTAGGGAGGAAGGACCTGTTTATTGCACAGAAGATTGACCGAGCCCAGCAAAGGTTTTTAAGATTCCTTAGCAATAACTGGGAGACTTATGTTTACATAATCTTAATTTCATGCAGTGGGTGGCGTGTATACTTTCCATCTATATGGTGTATATTTTGTTATATTACGGCTGGATTAAATATATGACTCAGATTTGTTAAGAGGATGGCAAGCTTAAGACGTGATTCAGTGCCAAATATAAAGCCAGACTGTTGTAACCTTGTGCAGCAAGAAAACGGATGGGAAGAGAGCGTGGAATCTTTTTTCCATCTTTTTTTTCTGCTGCTTCTCCCATTTTGATTTCTTTTCACCGATTTTGCTCCTAACAAGGATCTCAGAAGAATGGTTGCCAAAAGGAAGCTCAACTGCTCTTCACTCCTTCCTTACACCATTTCTGATCAAATTATTACAATAATTGAATTGGGGATGTTAACGGCCCTGCCAGCCAAGGAATATCATCTGTCTGGGATTAGGAGACATGCTGTAACCCTTACCCTCTGGAGCAATCCCCTTTCAAAGATTAGGATCACCCTAACCTTGCTGGTCCTTTGTGAGGCCTTGAAGGTCTGGCTGTATGCCCTGACCGGGATCTGAGTGTCTTAAGGGCCCCTTTTCTTGGCTGAATTAACAGCTATGGCAATAGTTTTATTCAGTGATTATATATAATTATTTTATGTTTTTATTATACGTGCCACTTAGAATCACTTGTTGAGATAGGTGGCTACAGAATTCAAATAAATGTGTTTTTTTAAAAAAAAAACTTAGCCTGAATTGTTTTTACAATTAGCTTAAGGTAGTGAGTATATCCAAGATACCTTCCTCCTCCTATTTTCCCCACAGCAACAACCCTATGAGGTGGGTTGGGCTGAGAGAGAGTGACTGGCCCAAAGTCATCCAACCAATACAGCAATTGAATTAAAAATTAAAATAAAGTGCCTGGAAACTGTATGTGGCTTTCTACTAAGAAGCTTGATTATTGTATATTTCCAATTTACTCTGATAATTGAATTTTCATTTTCTTCATAGAATATAGTACTGGTTAGATTTTCTGATTCTACAGTGAAAATATTAAGGGTTCGTTGTTTCTGGGCTGTGTGAAAACATACACAGGATATGCCAGTTGGAATGGCTCGGGATTTGGAAGAATCGGATTCATCTTCTGAGGAAGAGGAAGAAATGGAAGGGCCAGAGTAAGTTAAAACTTATAATTGTATATTGTGTCAGAGTTACTATGGAAATTTAAGTCTAACCTTCTTTAAAAATGAACATGAAAGCTTGAAATTATAAGTGTGAATGTTCAGTATATAGCTTCATGTCTGCTACACATTTATCCTTATTCTGCTGTGGGCATTCAGCCAGAATTAGTGAGAATTAACTTCATCCTTAGGATGAGAGCTGTCACATAAGGCATGCTCCTAGTTACCCTAGGTAACCAGATGCCTTTATTGGTCTTAAAGTAAACACTCTGCATGTACTTACTTTCGATTAAACATGTATGCAGGTTCCAAATCTCTGGAAAATTGATAAATGCATGCTTATCCTTGCAAACTTTAGCAATCTGAAGACTATAGAGGAACTAGACACATTAAGTTTTTAAGGGAAATATTTAAATGCACATTATTCTCACTATACTTTTATCACTTGTATGTGCAGCCTACTTTTTCTTGTAATTCTGGAAGTAGGTAGGTGGGTTACAAGGGAACATGAATGTGACTATTGTGTAAATGTATGAAGCTGCTTTGATCACGTTACCGGTTATAGGCCAGAACTTAGATTCTTCATTATCTCAAGCCAATATCTTTCATATCTTCTTGATCCTTTAGCTGGGAATTTGGCCTTGTGCCTTTTTTAAACATGCATTGTTGTTTGAATTGTGGTCTGTGGTGAAAAGTTGTCCTTTCCTATCATTGAGGGTTATTTTTTAGCTTACTTTGATATTAAGTCTTTATTTGCACGAGTCTGCTTCTTGTTCCCCTGCAGGAAGCTATGTTTATAAACATAGGTTTACTAATATGGCTTGGTTTAGTAGACTTTTTTTCATCCATTCTCTCCCACCCATTAATTTCTCTTGCCATAGAAAATTGGCAGAATGTCCTTCACTTATACTGTAGTTTGATTAAGGTAGGAAACAGTCTATCAACTTTTACAATTTTATATTCAAACTGGCACACAAATGGGATAATACAGATGATAGAAAAGAACTGGAAAGGGGTCTTTAGGCCATTGGGTCTAATCTTTTACTCAGTACAGGAACCTAAATTAAAGCATCCCTGAGAGATGGCAGTTTTATTCCTGCTCGAATACTTTCAGTGAAGTATTGTTTCCCTATGTTTTTGGATAACTACTTTTACCTTTGAACTATCTATTACAAAGCTCTTGATCTTCTGAATGACATAATTCAAGTATTTAAAATATACACTTTCACAGTCCTGTTTTCTCATGGTTAATCTGTCTTCAGTTTTTCTTCTCTTTACTTTCTAGTAAAAAATCCTGGTGGCATTTCTCTAAATTTGATCTGGTCCTTAACATATAATGTCTAGACCTGGTTACTATACTTGAAAAGTGGTCTCTAGCTAACACAGAATAAAATGAATTATTTTTTCCCTGCAGTTTAGAAACAGAACTAATCTTGATGAAGCCTAAAGTTGCATTTGCCTTGTTTGCAACTACATAATATCAAAACAGCAAATCCCATTATAAAAATATATTATTAAACACTTTGAAGGCATTTATAATTTTAAAAAGTTACAATGCACTACTAGAGATTATTACATGGCACTTGGAAATAAAAACATTCTATTTTCAAAACCTTCTTAAAGGCTATGGTATTCTTCTGCATCCCATTGGGAAGTGGGCAAACCATTTGCTAATCAGAATGTCATGGGATACTTGTCAAATGTTTTGTTGAAATCAAGATACATTCCATCTTAGCATTCTTACATTCTAAGGAAAAATTTCCAAGTAAAAAAATAAGGTAATGCTTGTCTGGCAAGACCAGAACTTGTCAAATCCACAATTTCTGGTGATTTTTGCATTTGTTTTAAAAGTCTTATAGATAATTTGCTTTTAGGTTTGTTACTAATTGATATTTCCCTGTATCTTCTTTATTCTTCTTTTAAATATAAAGACAACAAACAGTTTTTCCCCTCCAGTTGTTTGATACAATGTTATGTTGAATTTTTAAAAATAATGCATAAAACTTAGCAAAACCTTCAGCAAATTTATTTTGTATCCTTGGTTGAAATTCAGCTAGCTTTATAAATTTAAACATATTTAGAGAAGAATTCCCTGACTATATTTCTGTTAGACTAAAGCTTCAGTCCTACTGATTCATCCTGCTCTTCAAAATTGCCCAGTGGTCCCATATCCTCTTGGAAAAAACTGAGCCAAAATTAGAGTAAAGTAATTCTGTCTTTTCTTGGTTACCTTTTAACATTTTCCCATCTTTATTGGGAATAGCTGTATTTGTTTTTCCTGCTTATTATTTTGAACATATATCCAAAGGGGTGTTCTCTTTGTTATTCTTTTTATTATTGATATCAGCCTCCTTTCAAAACTTCAATTCTTTTTTGAGTTTTACCTTTTTTGATAACCATATCTATAGCTGAGACGTATATGCATTCTGCCTTGATAACTTGATCCTCTTTTTATTGCTGATGTGTGACTCTTTCAAATCTTTGCTAAGCTTTATATATAGTTCTCTTGACTTCTTTTACTGTCTTCCAATTATTTTCTTCAATGAAATTGTTAGCAATCTTTCACCTGAATTTCCTGGGAAACTCACATGAATTAATAAACATAGGTTGATGGATATTGTTGCTTATTTAGAAACTTTATGATGTATGATATTTCAGAGTCACTTTGGATAGTAAGATGGGT